TGCAGCTGCTACCCAGCCCCCCTCCTTTAGAGTCACATTCCAGAGTTTCAAGATGCACCTTTAGGTCGGCCACCTGGCAAGGCGGTTCCCCCTCCTCCCACAGGCCCTAGGGGCCCTGCAGACGTCCAGGCCAGTGTGTCCTGGGGGGATTCAGCTTGACCCTCCCTCTGCAGCCCCCGGGGGACTCTTCCTGCTCACCTCTGGGCCAGGTGCCCCAGGCCTGGGACCTTCTGAGAGGGTGTCTCTTCAGTTCCTTTGGCACCTTCCCTGGGGCCCCCACAAGGACTCTGCACCTCCACCCAGCGCCCCTGCTCTGGCGTCTGCAGAGCCGGAAGGGTCTCCAGGCGCCACCGCTGCAGGTTCACCTGGTGTGCCGGGCACCGTGGCTGCGGGTGTGGCCACAATGTAGGCGCCCGCCCAGGGGCGTCTGCTCACTGTCCAGTGGGTGGTGCTGAGCAGGAGAGGTCCCTGGCCCCCTGGTGTCTGTGGGGTGCCCAACACATGGCGATTCCCAGCCACTGCTGCCCTTGGCCAGCAGCGCTCAACCCTTGAGCCACCCAGGCAGCGCCCTTGGTCCTCGTGCCCAGCCGGTGCCCCAGGGGCCGCTGTCTTCTCTCCTTGGCCAGGTCCCCCCCAACACGTCACCTCCCGGCCAGCACCCATGGTCCTGGCCCAGATGGCAGGTGTGGATGAGGCCTCCTCGCTGGGGGGTGTGGGGGGCGAGAAGGGGCATCCCTCAGGGGGTAGCAGGAAGGCAGCAAGAAGCCAGTCTGTCCCTGACTCACAGCAAGAGAAAAGCTAAAAATTCTGGGACCTCCCTAGGGGCACAGGGGTGAGTCTCATTGCTGTGAAGTTGTCACTGCTGAGGCCCGAGTCCATACCCCGCCAGGGAGTGACCCACAGGACGTAGCACCTCTTCTGTCCCCTACTCCCCTCAGCAGTGGTTCTCAGTAGAGCCACCTGTTCTGCTCCCTACTCTGTCTCTGGGGAGTCCTCTCACCTCCTGACCTCTGATCTGCACCCCAGGTCCCTATGCATAAATAAATCTTAAAAAATAATGAAGCTAAATATTCCTTGGGGTGTGGTGTGTGTGTGTGTGTGTATGTGAGGTGTATGTGTGTGAGGTGAATGTGATGGGTGTGGTGTATATAGTTCATTTGTGAGGTGAGTGTGGTGTGTGAGGTGTGTGTGTGAAGTGTGTGTGTTGTGCGTATGTGGTGTGTGTGTGGTGTGTGTGAGAGGTGTGTGTGAGTGTGGTGTGAAGTGTGTGTGGTGTGAGCTGTGTGATGTGAGGTGTATGGTGTATGTGGTGTGAGGTGTGTGAGAGGTGTGTGTGTGGTATGTGTGAGGTGTGTTTGGTGTATGAGGTGTGTGTGAGGTGTGTTTGGTGTGTGAGGTATTTGTGTGAGGTGTGTATGAGGTGTGTTGTGTGAGGTGTGTTTGGTGTGTGAGGTGTGTGAGGTGTGTGTGAGGCCTGTGTGGTGTGTGTGTGGTGTATGGTATGTATGTGTGAGGTGTGTTGTATGAGGTGTGTGAGGGGTGTGTGTGTGTGGTGTGAGGGGTGTTGTCTGAAGTGTGTGAGGTGTGTGTGGTATATGTGTGAGGTGTGTGTGGTTCATGTGTGAGGTGAGTGATTGTGTGAGGTGTGATTGTGTGAGGTGTGTGTGTGGCGTGAGGTAAGTGTGTGAAGTGTGTTTTGTGCGATGCGGTGTGTGTGAGGTGTGTGTGAGTGTGGTGTGAGCTATGTGGTGTGAGCTATGTGATGTGAGGTGTGTGGTATATGTGGTATGAACTGTGTGGTGTGAGGTGTATGAAGTATGTGGTGTGAGGTGTGTAAAAGGTGTGTGTAAAGTATGTGTGAGTTGTGTTTGGTGTATGAGGTGTGTGAGAGGTGTGTTTGGTATGTGAGGTGTGTGAGGTATTTGTGTGAGGTGTGTATGAGGTGTGATTGTGTGAGGTGTGTGTGGTGTGAGGTATGTGTGTGAAGTGTATGTTGTGCGATGTGGTGTGTGTGTGAGGTGTGTGTGAGTGTGATGTGAGGTGTGTTGTGTGAGATGTGTGGTATATGTGGTTTGAACTGTGTGGTGTGAGGTGTATGATGTATGTGGTGTGAGGTATGTTTGGTGTATGAGGTGTGTGTGAGGTGTGTTTGGTGTGAGGTGTGTGAGGTATTTGTGTGAGGTGTGTATGAGGTGTGTTGTGTGAGGTGTGTGAGGTGTGTGGTATATGTGTGAGGTGAGTGTGGTGTGTGAGGTGTGTGTGTGGTGTGAGGTATGTGTGTGAAGTGTGTGTTGTATGATGCAGTGTGTGTGTGTGAGGTGTGTGTGAGGTATATGTGAGTGTGGTGTGAGGTGTGTGGTATATGTGGTATGAACTGTGTGGTGTGAGGTGTATGGTGTATGTGGTGTGCGGTGTGTGCGTGGTATGTGTGAGGTGTGTTTGGTGTATGAGGTGTGTGAGGTATTTGTGTGAGGTGTGTAGCGTGAGGCGTGTGTGGTATATGTGTGAGGTGTGTGTGGTTCATGTGTGAGGTGAGTGTGGTGTATGAGGTATGATTGTGTGAGGTGTGTGTGTGGTGTGAGGTATGTGTGTGAAGTGTGTGTTGTGTGATGCGGTGTGTGTGTGTGAGGTGTGTGTGTGAGGTGTGTGTGTGTGGTGTGAGCTATGTGATGTGAGGTGTGTGGTATATGTGGTATGAGCTGTGTGGTGTGAGGTGTGTGGTGTATGTGGTGTGAGGTGTGTGAGAGGTGTGTGCGTGGTATGTGTGAGGTGTTTGGTGTATGAGGTGTGTGTGAGGTGTGTTTGGTGTGTGAGGTATTTGTGTGAGGTGTTTGGTGTATGAGGTGTGTGTGGTATATGTGTAAGGTGTGTGTGGTGTGTGGTATGAGGTCTGTGTGGTGTGTGTGAGGTGTGTATGTGGTGTGAGGTGTGTATGGGGTGAGGTGTGTATGTGGTGTGTGTGAGGTGTGTGGTGTGTGGGAGGTGTGTGTGGGGTGAGGTGTATATGTGAGGTGTGTGTGGTGGGCAGCAGGGCCTCTGGCGCCCACTGCCTCTGAGGGCGCCGTGAGGTCAGGGGTCAGGCTTTGGGCTGGTCCGCAGGTGTTAGTCCAGGCCTGGCTCCGCTTGAGGCCCACATCGGGCTGCACTTCCATTGCTGCTCAGTACGGGCGGCCTTGGCCTTGTCAGGTGGACCCTCACATCCAGACCAAGGACTTGGGGTTTGAGGCTGAGCAGACGCCCTGAGGTATATACTGTTTCAAGCCGGCCATGAGGCTGCTCGGGTTTCATCTGGGCAGAGGCAGATGTCGCGCCGCCACTGCTGACCTGTCCTTGTTAAGCAGAGGCTGGCACTGAGTCCCCCCACCATGAGAGGGCCCCCCCCCCAACCATGAGTCGCACCCTGGCTGGGTTCTGCAGTGGACCAATGAGGTGCGAGCTGTGCGCTGACTGCAGCTAAATGGCCCAATCAGCCGCAAGGCTGAAAATGGCCCAATCAGACTTGTGGGCGGGGCCCTGAGAGAGGATATAAGCCAGGGTGGGCGCAGGGTCAGGCTCATCCTGCCAGCAGAGGCTGTTGCTGGCGCAGAGGATGGAAGCGCTGAAGCTGAAAGGCTGAGGAGAAGCTGAAAGGATGAGGAGAAGACGATCTCTGCAGGAACAGGGCCTCGGTCGCCCAGCAACTCAGGGCTGCGAACGCGGGGCGCCCCGAGCCCGCCTCTGGGGACAGCCGCGGCCCCTGCTGGCCAGGGCGGCCCAGACCCGGGTGACCGCGGCCGCCATCCCCGACGCCCTCCGGGCGAGGCGCCGCCACGCGTGGCCACGGTGAGCTCCGAGTCTCCCGCGTCAGACGCGCCCCAGGGCGCCTGCTCCGGAGCCGGAGGCCTCTTGGCTGCGCCCTGAGACCCACAGACTGGCTGGTCCTCTGGCGGGCCTGACCGGCGCTGGGCCCGGGCCCACAGGCCCCTCTGGGCTGGGTCTTCGGCGGCTCTCCCCTCTCGGCCCGGGTCAGGTGAGTGGCCGTCCCATCCGCCACCTGGCCCCCTGCCCCCCGCCCTGCCCACCCCTATTTCAGCCCTGCCCCTGCCTTGGCCTTGCGTCCACTGTGAAGCCTGGCTCTGGACCTCCAGCGGGGCGGGGGCAGCAGTGGAAGGCGGGGAGGAGGGGCCGGCTGCCGCTGGGGCGCGCCTGGTGCACCTGGGGACCGACGCTGGCACCTGTGGTCCTGTTGCCTGGCGCCCAGGCTTGGCCGGGGGGGTCCCCCGCACAAGCCAGCCCGGCGTCACTGCTCACAGCCCCTGGCGGCAGAGGCCCGAGGGTCTGGAGGGACACTCGGCCCTGAGGAGGGCTCCCGCTCCCGCCCCGCGGGCCCCAATCACCCCTCCTGTGAGCTTTCCCAGAGAGAACCCCGGAGCCAGAGCAGACGGGTGTGAGGACCGGAGGTGCCCACCCGCGTCCTCAGCTGGCCGCGTCCTCAGCTGGCTGGTCGCAACCACGCCCTCCCCTGGAGGCCACCCACCTGCATCACGCAGCTCCCTCCCCGCGGCAGGGGAGGCCGCCAGGCTCCCCCCTGGGCCAGGCTCCCCCCCCAAGGGTGCCGGGCCTGAGGGGCCGCGGAAGGGCTGCGGCCGAGGTCCCAGGGAAGAAAGCGGCAGGACTCCAGGGAGTTTGGAATTGCTTTTATTGGGGCGAGCGCTGCAGGCCCGCCCTGGTCGGGTTAGTGTTCTGCCCTCACGGAGGCGGCGGGGAGCCCGGGGCTCCGCCCCACTGGCGGGGCAGTGGGACATGCAAAGCTCGGTCACGGGGTGGAGGCAGCATGGAGGCAGCGGGAGGCCCCGGGCCAGGGGCCGCTGGAGCGGGACGGGGCGGTGCTGGCGGGCCCAGGTCAGCAGACAGCCCAGCCTGGGGCCGCGTGGAAGGGCTGGGCTCCCTGGAAAGACCAGGAGACGCCCCCGGAGCGGGCTGCCCCGGGAGGGCTCCACAGGCTGGGCCCAGGGCCCAGGGCCAGGAGAGAACAGCCGGAGAGCTGGGCGGGGCGAGCCTTCTCCCCCAGAGCCGGGGCCTGGGCGTGAGGGAGGACACAGAAGGCACTTAGGAGGGAGCTGAGGCGAGAAGGCTGGAGCCAGAGGCCTGGGGCGCGGGGCGCGAGCGAAATGCAGCGAGCACAGCCTGCAGGCATGGCGCGGGGGCAGGCGGGGGCTGGCCGGGCCAGCTGGCGCGGCCGACCGGACCCTCCTCTTCCCATGGGGAAGGGGCTTCTCTGGGCAGGCTGGAGGGGAGGGCCCAGGCAGGACCGCTGGGCGAGCAGGCTGGCCGGACGCAGGGCACCGGTGAGGGCCTGAGGGGAGCAAGGCGGTCTGGCGGGGCAGCCTGCAGGCTGCGGACCTCACCGGGACAAACCCCCGCCCTGGGGAGACGGGAGGGGCCCAGCTCTGGACCCTCCAAGGCACCTGGCTGTGGCGAGTGGCAGGCGAGGGGGGCGGGGCGACGGCGGGCGGGGCGGGGCAGCCCCTCGAGCCAAGAGCTGTCTGGACACTAGGTGGGTTCGTGTACTAGTCTGGTCTTTTTGGTAAAACTTTAGGCACCACTTGGGAGGAAGACACCTTAAACTGTTAGAGAGACCCCAACGGCCGGCGGGAGCCTGGCCGCATGCAGAGCAGGGGCGAGGGGCGGGCGAGGGGTCAGGCGACCGCGGACTCGGGGCCCCCCAGGGAGGACACGGGCCCCGAGGCGTAGCGGCGGCCGTAGCCCGAGGAGGAGTAGGAGGAGGAAGAGAAGGTCATGGAGAAGCCGGAGCCGGTGGCGTCGAAGCTGCCGCGGCGGGAGCCGGCGCGGGAGCCGGTGCGGGAGCCGGCGCGGGAGCCGGCCGTGGAGCCCGAGCCGCTGATGCTGTAGGGGCTGTAGTAGCCCTTGCTGGACTGGGCGGCGGCCTCCAGCAGCCGCAGCCCCGTGCCCTCCTCCACCATGCTGCGGTCCAGCGCGTCCTTGTAGGAGATCTTGAGCTTGGTCTTGGGGCAGGTGAGGTACTTGGAGTGGCCGCCCACGTCGCGCAGCTTCTGGGCAGTGCGGGCGTCCACAGTGCCGCGCTGCAGGGCCTCGTCCAGGGGCACGCGGCCGGGCGTGTCGGGCTCGATCAGCCCGCCCGTCAGGTACTGCACCTCCAGGAAGCGCTGGCCCGCCTCGTAGTAGAGCCAGCCCTTCTTCAGGGCCTGGGCAGCCGACATCTTGGTCTTGGTGCGAGGGTCCTCGAAGCCGCAGAAGGCCTTCTGGGCCAGGTTGATGCGGTCCACCATGATCTTGTCCACCAGGCCCCTGCTGACAGCCTCGGCCACGGGGAAGCGCGCTCCGGTGCCGGGGTCGATGATGCCCCCGGTGCAGGCCTGCGCCTCCAGCAGCCGCTGCCCGGTGATGTTGTCCACCAGGTTGCGGTGCATGGCCTCTGTGATGGACACCTTCTCCAGCGTCTCCGTGTCCAGGATGCCCGCCACTGGGCCCGTCTCCTCGGTAGGGTCCGACCAGGAGGACGGCTGGGCCCGGGAGACGGCGGGGCTGGCGGGGTAGGAGGAGGAGGACCCCACGGAGGACGAGCGGGAGCGGAAGCCGCCGGCGTTTCCGGAGAGCATGTCGGCGAACTCGGTGATGGAGAGCGTGCCGGCGCGGTACTGGTCCAGCGCCGAGCGGTCGATGAGGCTCTTGGAGATGGCCTCGTCGATGTCGTACTGGCGGCCCGAGCGGCGGTCGATGATCATGGACTTGACCACGCCGTCCGAGGACGAGGTGGTGATCTCCTCCCACTCGCACTCCTGCTCCGAGAGCTCCAGGTAGGTCTGGTGGTCGATGAGCCCCTTGCGGTAGGCCTCGTACACCGACATCTCCCGGCCCGTCTCGGGGTCCACGATCACCACGCGGCGCTTGCGCACCGAGGACTTGGAGGACGTCTTCCGCTCGCGCTTCTTCTCCTTCAGCGGCAGCAGGCACAGCCCCGTCTGGGGGTCGGTGACGCAGCGCTCCATCAGCTGCAGGTAGGTGAGGTTCTCCTCCGTGTTGGGGTCGAAGAAGCCCTTGGTGTCGTCGGAGGGGTCGCTGAGGATCTCGTTCATCTCCTCGTCGAAGAGGCCGCGCTTGTAGGCCACGTCCACGGGCAGGCGGTGGCTCTCCTCGGGGTCGATGACGCCGCCCGTGGCGATCTGGGCCTCCAGCAGCCGGATGCCGTGGTCCTTGAGGATCAGGCCCTTCTTCATGGCCTGGAAGAGCGAGATGAGCTTCCCGGAGTAGGGGTCCTTGTAGCCGGTGACGGCACGCTCGGCCGCCAGCAGCTTGTCCTTGAACTCGGGGCCCACGATGCCCATGCGCACGGCCTCCTCCACCGTCAGCTTGAGCCCCTTGATGGGGTCGATGACGTAGCCGGTGGCCGCCTGGGCCTCCAGCAGCTCGAAGGCGGTTCCGGGCCGGATGATGCCCTTCTTCATGGCCTGGTACACCGACAGCCGCTCCTTGGTGGCGTCAACGTAGACGCCGGCGATGCAGCTGGAGCCCTCGAGGAACCGCTGCAGGCTCTTGGACACCTCCTCGACGGAGGTCAGCCCCTCCTGCAGCTGCAGCGCCGTGGCCTCGTCCATGACCTGGGAGCGCACCAGCTCCTCCACCGTGATCTGCTTGCGCAGGCCGCGGAAGGTCAGCTTGCGGGTGTCTGAGAGCGGCAGGAGCAGCTGGCCGCTGCCCTCGTCGCGGCGGCACCGCTTGAGCAGCTGGGCGTAGCTGAGGCGCTCGTCTGTGGAGGGGTCCACGTAGCTGCGCACCTCGCTGGGCTCCGACAGCTGATCGTGCGTCTCCTTATTGAGGTAGCCGCGCTGGTAGGCGACCTCCAGGGGAAGGTGGAAGCCCAGGCGTGGGTCCACGACGCCGCCCGTGGCCAGCTGGGCGTCCAGCAGCCGCAGGGCCTCCTCGGCGGGAATCAGCTCCTTCTTCATGGCCTGGAAGAGCGAGATGGTCTGCTCCGTGTAGGGGTCCCGGTAGCCGGTGACCGCCCGCTCCGCGGAGAGCAGCCGGTCGTGCAGCTCGGGGCCCACCAGGCCCTTCCGCACAGCCTCGTCCACGGTCAGCCGCTCCCCCTTCACCGGGTCCAGCAGGAAGCCCGTGGCGGCCTGGGCCTCCAGCAGCACACGGGCCACCTCGGCATTGAGCAGCCCCTTCTTGAGGGCCTGGTAGACGGTGAGCGTCTGCCTGGAGCCGGGCAGGTAGACGCCGGCCACGCAGCCCGTGCCGTACAGGAAGCGCCAGGCGGACTCCTCGTCCAGCACCTGGCGCAGGGTCTTGGTGCCTTCCCGGAGCAGGCTGTAGGTCTCGCGGGAGATGACGCGGGCTTCGTACAGGTCCTCGGCCGTCAGGCGGCGGCGCACGTAGTCGTAGGAGGACAGGTTCTGCTGCCGGACGACCTCGGTCTTCTCGATGATCTCGATGATGATGATGATCATGCGCTCCTTGGTCACCCGGCCGGCCTGGAAGTCGGCCATCAGCTGGGCCCGCTGCTGCTCGGGGATCAGGTCCGACTGCATCACCTCCCACAGGGACATGGTGCCGCCCTGGCCGCCACCGGCGCCTCCGGGGATGTCGATCTGCGTCTCCTCGAAGGCCCGCCGGGTCTCCTCCTCGGAGTACATCTGCGTGGTCTCCACCACCTCGGCCTTCTCCGCCCCTCTGAGCGGCAGCAGGAGCAGGCCGGTCTCGGGGTCCGGCTCGCAGCGCCCCAGCAGCTGCAGGTAGGTGAGGTTCTCGTGCGTGTTGGGGTCGAAGAAGCCCTTGGTGTCGTCCGAGGGGTCGCGGAGGATCTCATTCAGCTTCTGGTCGAAGTAGCCGCGCCGGCAGGCCTCGTCCACGGGCAGGCGGTGGCTGTGCACGGGGTCGATGACGCCGCCCGTGGCGACCTGGGCCTCCAGCAGCCGGAGGCCGTGCTCCCGCACGATCAGGCCCTTCTGCATGGCTTGGAAGAGCGAGATCTGCTCCCCGGTGTAGGGGTCCGTGTAGCCCGTCACGGCCTTCTCGGCCGACAGCAGCTTCTCGTGCAGCTCGGGGCCCACCACGCCGGCCTTGACGGCCTCGTGCACGTACAGGCGCTGGTTCCGCACTGGGTCCACCAGGAAGCCGGTGGCCGCCTGGGCCTCCAGCAGCAGGGTGGCCGTGCTGGGCCGCAGCAGGCCGCGCCGCATGGCCTCATAGATCGTCACCTTCTCCTGGGAGTCCTCCAGGTAGACGCCGGCCAGGCAGCCAGTGCCCTGGAGAAGCGCCCGCACCGAATCCACTTCCGACAAGGCCCTGACTGACGTCTTGCCGTCCGTGAGCTGCTCAAACTGGGTCCTGCTGAGGACCCCCGCGGCCAGGAGCTCGCTGGCGGGCACAGGGGTCCGGAGGCCGCTGAAGGAGAGCTTCTCCCGGCGCGTGGTCTCCACCTCCTCCACGATGGTGATGACTATCTTGATGACCTTCTCCACGGTGACCTTGCCCGTGCGGAACTGCCGCAGCAGCTCCCGCCGCTGCTCCTCCGTGAAGTACTCGGAGCTGATGAGCTCCCACACGCTCACCGTCCGGCCCTGGAAGGTGCCCACGGGGACTTCGACCGTGGCCTTCTGAAAGGCCTCCCGGGCCTGGAGCTCGGAGTAGAGCTCCTGCTGCCGGGCCCGGGCGGCCTTCTCCGAGACGGGCAGCAGGCTCAGCCCTGTCAGCGGGTCGGGGCGGCACCGCCGCTGCAGCTGGGCGTAGGTGGCCGGCTCCTGCGCACTGGGGTCGTAGTAGGTCTTGGCATCGTCCCTCGGCGCCGACAGGGCCTCGCTGGTCTCCCTGTCCAGGTAGCCCCGAGCGCAGGCGACGTCCAGAGGCACGCGGTGGCTCTTGCTGGGGTCGACGACGCCCCCCGTGGACAGCTGAGCGTCCAGCAGGCGCAGGCCCTGCTCCCTGGGGATGAGGCCTTTCTTCAGGGCCTGGAACAGAGAGACGCTCTGCCCCGAGTACGGGTCTCTGTAGCCCGTCACGGCCTTCTCAGCGGAGAGCAGCTTCTCGTGCAGCTCGGGCCCCACCAGGCCGGCGCGGACGGCCTCGTCCACGGTCAGCCGGGCGCTGGTGGCAGGGTCGACGATGTGGCCGGTGCCAGCCTGCGCCTCCAGCAGGGCCACAGCCACCTCTGGCGGCAGCAGGTCTTTCTTCAGGGCCTCGTAGACGCTCAGTTTCTGGCCGGCCTCCTCCAGCCACACGCCCGCAATGACGCTGGTGCCGTGCAGGGCGCGGCGCACGGCCTCCGCCTCAGCCACCTCCTGCACAGAGCGCTCGCCCTGCTGCAGCTGGCGGTAGAGGTCGTGGTCGATGACGCCGCTGTCGAGCAGCTCGGCGGCGGGCACCAGCGCGCGCAGGCCCTGGAAGCACAGCTGGCTCTTCTGCTCGCGCTCCTCCACCACCGTGATGACTATCTTGATGATCTTCTCCACGGTGACCTTGCCTGTGCGGAACTGCCGCAGCAGGTCCCGCCGCTGCTCGGCTGTGAAGTACTCGGAGTTGATGAGCTCCCAGATGGTCACCGTCCTGCCCTGGAACTGGCCAAATGGGGCGGAGACCGTGGCCTTCTTGAACACGTCCCGGGCCTCCGCGTCGGTATACACCAGCTCGCCGCCCTTGGCAGCCTGATCTGTGAGCGGCAGCAGGCGCAGGCCGGTCTCGGGGTCCGGCACGCAGCGCCCCAGCAGCTGCAGGTAGGTGAGGTTCTCGTGCGTGTTGGGGTCGAAGAAGCCCTTGGTGTCGTCGCTCGGGTCGGCCAGCACGCGGCTCAGCGCCTCGTCGAAGAGGCCGCGCCGGTAGGCCTCGTCCACGGGCAGGCGGTGGCTGTGCACGGGGTCGATGACGCCGCCCGTGGCGATCTGGGCCTCCAGCAGCCGGATGCCGTGGTCCCGCACGATCAGGCCCTTCTGCATGGCCTGGAAGAGCGAGATCTGCTCCCCGGTGTAGGGGTCCTTGTAGCCGGTGACGGCGCGCTCGGCCGACAGCAGCTTGTGGTGCAGCTCGGGGCCCACCAGGCCCTCCTTCACGGCCTCGTTGACAGTCAGCCTGCGGTTGTGCACGGGGTCCAGGAGGAAGCCCGAGGCCGCCTGGGCCTCCAGCAGGATGACGGCCGTTCCCGGGCTCAGCAGCTGCCTCTGCAGGGCGGCATAGACGCTCAGCTTCTCGTTGGTCGGCTGCAGCAGCAGCCCGGCGATGCTGCTGTGGCCCTGCAGGTAGCGGCAGACGTCCTCGCGCCGGGCCAGCTCGGCCACCGTGGTGCGGCCCTCCTCCAGCCCCCGCAGCTCGTCGGCACCCAGGACGCCGGCCTCCTGAAGCCGCCTGGCAGGCACCTTCTGCCGCAGGCCCTCGAAGGCGTGCTCGGGCTGCAGCTCCACACGGGGGCCGTCGGGCGCGTCTCGGCCGTTGGGCAGGGCCCTGGCCGCCGCAGCCTGGGTGGCCGCCACCTCCTCGGAATGTGCCAGCGCGGCCCGGTGCTGCTCCTCCAGGCGCTGCAGCCGCTCCCGCAGCCGCTGGTTTTCCTCGGCCAGCAGCTGCTCCTGCTGCTGCCGCTGCTGCTCCAGCTGCTGCAGCTGCTCCTGCTTGTGCCGCACGCCCTCCTCGGCCTCCCGCTGCCGCCGGCGGGCCTCCTCCATGCTGGCCACCAGCTGCTGCTTCTCCTGCTCCATCTGCCGCTGCTGCCGCTGCTGCTCCTCTCGCAGCTTCTGCGCCTTGGCCACCTCGTCCTGGAAGAGCTGCTCCAGCTTGGCCTTCTCCTGCTCGATGAAGCGCTCCCGCTGGAGCAGACTGTCCTTCTCCGACAGGAAGCTCTGCTGCAGCGCCTGCGTCTCTTGCAGCAGCTGCTCCTGCTGCTCCATCTGCCTCTGGAAAGGGGGGACGTGGTCAGGTGCGGCAGGGAGCCAGGCACGCGCCCCTCCCCCAGCCCCCCCGCCCCCGCCGGCGTGGGCAGCGCGCAGGTACCTCCTCGGACTTGAGCTGCAGCAGCCTGGCCTCCTGCTTCAGCTTCTCCCTCTCGCGCTCCAGCTCCGCAATGGCCCCCCGCAGGCGCTCGGCGTCCAGATCGCTCTGCTGCCGCTCGATCTCCAGCGTCTGCACCAAGGTCACCTTCTCCTGAGTGGCCAGCTCGGTGCGGTGCAGCTTCTCCCCGATCTCCTCGGCCTGCTTCCGGAAGCGCTGGGCGTCCTCCTCTGCCCGGGCCTGGGCCCGGCTCATCTCGGCCACGCGCACCTTGAGCCGCTCCGCCTCGGCGCTCATCTCCAGCTGCCGCTGCCGCTCGGCCTCCAGGGTGCGCTGGAAGCCCTGCGTCTCCTCCGCCAGCTGCTGGGCCATCTGCTCTTTGTCCTCCTGCAGCCGCCGGGCCTGCTCCTGCGCCAGGTCCTTCTGCTGCTGCAGCAGCTCGGCCTCCGCCTTGAGCCGCGTGGCCTCCTGCACCGCCTGCATCTTCTCCCTGAGCATCTTCTCGGCCAGGGCCCGCTGCTGGGCCAGGTCCTCCTCCGCCAGCTGCCGCAGCCGCGCCGCCTCCTGGGCGGCCACGCTCAGCCTGGCGGCCTCCTCCGCCACGTGCTTCATCTTCTCGGCCTCCTCCTGCAGGAAGCGCTGCGTGCTGTCCTTGTCGCGCAGGATGAGGGTGCGGTTCTCGGCCTCGATGCGCGCCTTGAGCTTGCCCAGCTCCTCCATCTGCACGCGCACGGAGAACAGCTCCTCTTCCACCTGGGCGCGCTGGCGCGCGGCCTCGCCCACCTCGGCCTTGAGCCGCTGCAGCTCCTCGTCCAGGATGCTCTTCTGGTGGTCCGTCTCCTCCAGCTGCAGGCGCAGCGTGGTCAGCTCCTGCTCCACCTGGGCCTTCTGCCGCAGCGTCTGCTCCGCGAACTTCTTGTGCTTCTCCATCTCGGCGTCGGCCGCCTGCTTCTGCCGCAGGGCCGCCTGCTCCGCCTGCGCGCGCCGCGCCGCCTCCTGCTCC